AAAAAAAAAAAAAAAAAAAAAAAGGTCAACAACAAAAACACAATGTTTAAAGATTATTTGAGTAGTATGTGTTTATTCTCCCTGTGCCAAATTCCTGAAAGGATGTCTCAACTGTGAAAAATTTAATTCGATTACCTCGAAACCTTCGAAACTTTTTTTTAGCAGACAGAATCTTTAATCTGACAAAATATATACAGGTCAGAGACCTCCTGTGCACACATTATGATTTAATGAGCTTAGTATCTTGTGGCTACGGGTCCTTAGAGGACTAGTGGTTAGGCCACAGCGCTCTCACCACTGCGACCCGGGTTCAAATTTCCGGCCAGGGAACCAACCCCAGCCACTGGGGATGCACACGACAGTGCACTCCCAGTGCCAGTCCCAGGCCCAGATAAAATTGGAGAGGGCTGTGTCAGAAAGGGCATCCGGCGTAAAAAGAACTGTGCCAAATCAAACATGCCGACCAATGATCCACTGTTGCAACCCCTAACGGGAGCATCCGAAAGAAGAACAACAACAGTATCATGTGGCTACACAATTAACTGTTGATATAAAAAAATAATAATAATAATAATAAAATGCAAAATAATAGGGTGTACTGGATCAAGTGCCATTTTATTAACTGCTGAATAATGAGGGTGGAAGCCATATTTAATAAATTAAACCAAATTTGCAGTGATTAATGTAATAATTACAGCTAGGACTATTCATGCAGCGATATATTGCCAATATATTAGACTCCTATTAAATGTTTATTTCAATGCTTGCCACCTTCTTATTCATATATCATGTTAGTCTTTTTTTTCATGTTTAAATTTTCTATCGCTTTTAGGCTACATTACATCTGACAGCAAAGGAATTTTTTTTTTCTTCTTTAGTCCATATTTTCTATCCCCTAATATTTTTTCAAGCTTAAAGGCAAGTACTTGTGTTTAAAGATGGTAGTCTACTGAAAAACACTAATACTCAAGAAAAATCTGGCAACCTCATAAGTACTGATTTGCAACCTCAGAAGCAGCTGACTTGCATAACCTGAAGGGGGAACCCAGAAAAATGACTTAAGTATGTGTGTAACCAGACTCTGAATACAAGTAACTTTCTCAGTGTAAACACTGACATAATTTTTGGACTTAATTCAACTCTGACTCTGAATACAGCCCTTAGCGCATACCTAGTTGATTTATGCGGAGTGTCAAAAGTAATACATGTTGACTTTTTGAAAACATAGGGTGTCACATCTGATAGGCATTGTTAAATTTATTGTTATGTTCTCTGTTTCTATACATATGTCAGAGGAATAGCCTGCTTGTGTGGTCAAAACGTGACCAAGAGTGTGGGTGTGTTCCTACCATAAAAGCATTGACCATCGAGCCCAGTATGGCTTGCAAAAGCAGAAGCATGGTGCCCACAGGACACTGGTCAGTGATGACACGATGGCCATATCCGATGGTGGTCTCTGTCTCGATGGAGAAAAGGAAAGCGGAGATAAAACCATTAACATTATTCACACATGGAGTCCACGTCTCGTCCTCCAAATGATCCAGATCTCCCCTAAAAAGAAAAAGACAGAAAGACAGAAGGACAGATAGAAGATTTGCTTTTTATTTTTTTTACCACTGTTGTATATGCTTGTAGTGCTCTCTAGAGCTGTGGAAAACAAATATTCTGAAATACTGAAACAAATATACTGAAATAGGAGCCATGGGAAAACATTAAACAAGATACTATGGATGCAAGAAGTAAATTCACTGATTACAAAATTGTGCACAGCATTTACTAATGATGAAGCATAGCTGGGGCTGATTTCTTTCTAGCCCAGGCTGTAGATTCATGCAGCCTATCAATGACATGTCAGGTGATTATGCACAGTGAAACGCCCCCTAGATTTTGTGTGCCCTGGGGATAATATTTTTCAGCCCACTTCACTTACACATCTTACACAACACGTCATCAACAGTGATTGAGGAGGTGCATGTGAAATACAGTCACGGGTGTAATGAACGTGAACAAGTTGGATTATTAACTACTATGCTTTAAAATGCCTTTGGAGGAGAAACTAAAAGTAGCTAGACTAAGCACACATTGCCCAATCAAAGTTACACAAATTATACAAAAGGACAGATGACAGAACAGCAAGTTAGGTAGTGTTTTTGGTTTGAACAATTGAGTTAAAACTTTTCTGTTTACAATGTTTGGTGTCCGGAGGAGACATGGCAGGAAGCCAGTAGAGCATTATAGACTTGAAGCACTTACACAAAATTAGAAATCATGACTGCAGCTGCCTATCTGTCTTAATGTGGGTGTATAATAGTTTGTTCCAGATCATCCTCATTATGAGACCTTTGATGCAACCTCACTTTTAAATCCTAACAGTTTCATTGTGGAGCTATAGACAGATATTAGATTTTAGCACTCGGACCTGATATCATGACCATTCATTACTGAATTACTATACACAAGATAATAAAAGTAAAACAGAAATAAACGTGTTTTTACATGCCATTTGGAAATGTACACTTACACTTACCTTTTGGAGAGTTGTGTCTCCTTGGAGACAAGTCTCTGGTGTTACCAGGAGTCACTAAAGCAGAGCCTGGCCTAACTCTTTCAGGATTTATTGCAGCAAACAGACAAATTTTATTTAAGTGATAGAGTCCACATAGACTACAGTTTACCGAGTGGCTTAGGCTTATAATTGAAAAAGCCTCAATGAAAGGATGATAGCCAACATAAATAGATCCTGAGGGAAAATAAACCAGGCTTTGAATAAATATCTTATTATTAGAGATATGTGTGATTAGGTGGAACTCTTTGTTGTGACCATGACAGACAGGTGGGGTTTTTAGTAGGGATGGGCCTTCTGACTTATTTGATTATTTGGATGTCCATTAATGAACGTATATTCAGTTAACTGCTAGAAGAGTGGGGAAACTGGATTTAATGTGACATAATCAAATATAACTTTCTACTGCAATTAAATGTTTCTCCTGGTAATATACTGGTAAACTGACAAATTAGTGGTTAATTTATGGGTGATTATTTTTATTTTATCATACCCTGTTATGTTATTGGTTGTATGATGTTATTTGGAAACAGAGAACAAATCACATTTAAATAATAAAATACTGAAATAAATAATTACTTTATTTAATAAGAGACTTTGATCCTGGAATACAGTGGTGAAATCTAGATTTAGTCAGAAAGGTTAAGAGCAAGAGAGAGGGAGAGAGAGAATGTGGGAGTTTGCTGTTTTTATGTTCTCTAGTACCCACCCACTCAGATGACTGCAGGTTAATCTCAGGTGGGTATGTGTGTATGCCTGTATTTGTGTACATTTGAGTCAGTACCTGGAACAGTTCCTGAGGTATATAATCCTTTAAAATATGAATGTTTTAGTGTATGTTAGCTCCATAAGAATGCACAATATTTCTATTTTAAATGATACCAATATCAAAGCTTTTTAGGTAACAACCGTAACACAAGTTCTCTGATAGCATGAGTGAGGCATCTCACTGCGGGGTACTCCTCTCTGCGTAGTCCTCAGAAGCCCTTATTTCAATATGCCAGCCATGACGTATGTGTCAAGGAGGCCCAATGTATACCATCACAATCTGGAATGCCCACGCCTCTGTCCGGGCAAAAAATGATCCGCATGCGACATCATTCATTCACCCCTGCATTTAACATAATGTGACCCATGACGGGTGCAGTCACATCCAGTCTGTAGAATCTTACAAAAATGTGTGACAAGGTCTAATTCATCACTGCACAAATGTCCGCAATAGAAATGCCCCAAAACATGGCCCAAGATGTTGCTATTCCTCTAGTAAAGTGCACACGCAAACCTGCTGTGGGTGTATTAAAGACCTTCGGGGTAAAAGGCGGGTTAGGTTTTAGAGTAACTCCGGTATCCCCTGGTGCAGATCGAGTGCATGTTGGGTGCACCGAAAGTGTATGAATGTCACTAACTCGCTTAACTGAGGCTATTGCCAATAACAGTGATGTGTTAAGTACCAGCATTTTGATATCTACCTCCCGAAGTGGTTCAAATGGAGGACATGACAGAGCATCCAAAACCAATGGTAAGTCCCAAGAGGGAGCCAGCAGTTTGGATACAGGACAGAGACAGTGCGCTCCCTTCATAAAACACCATACTAGGGGATGGTGGCCTACTGTCCAATCTCCAAATCCCACATGGCAAATGGAAATTGTGGCCAAGTACACTTAAATGATGGAAAACCCCTTGTCTATCTCAAGGAGGCTCTGTAGAAATGCCAGAATCACTGGGACAGAACACTGAAAAGGCACCACCTGCGATTTTTCACAAAATTCCTCGAACACTCTCCATTCATTTCCATATAGCAGGGGTGTCCAATCTTATCTGGAAAGGGCCAGTGTGGGTGCAGGTTTTCATTCCAACCAAGCAGAAGCCATACCTGAGTCTACTGAAAGCCAAGATCAACTGATTAAACAGGTGGTATCAGGTGTAGCAGTTTGCATTCCCCATAACAAGCGCCACCCCTCGATAATAGGTCTGTGCCTCGAATTTAAAATCCCAGGCACATGAGTTGCCTTCAGAGATAGAAAGTGCACTCCACTCCACACTGTCAGTTTGTGCGCAAGCATGTGCAGGAGACAGGACTGCATTCCTCCTTGGCAGTTGACAAGAATGTGATGCCCTCTCAAGAAGGGTACAAAGGTGGAACATGCTTTAGAGCTAGGAGAACCACTAAGAGTTCCAAATAATTTATGTGAGAGTCCTGAAGGTGTGAATCCCACACTCTGCTCACTATCCTGCCCTCGGGAGTGGCTCCCCAGCCCCGGAGAGATGCATCTGATGTGATCACTTTCCTGGACAGTATGGTTCCCATCTGAACTCCCTGTGTGAGGAAGGCTGGTTGCCTCCATGGATGCAGTGCCCGCACACAACTCGCCATTACCAACATGCGACGATGGCTGTGGCCTGTTTGGTCTAATCTGAGGGAGGCCATCCATAGCTGGAATTCTCTCATGTACAGGCGGCTGAACCGAGTTGCCACAAAAGTCGACTCCATTAAGTTCAGTAGCCTGAGGCACATTCTGAATGTAATGTACTGCCCTCTACAAAAACGGGCCAGACACACCCTGAACGCACCTACGTTCATGGTACTGCTGATGGTACCAAATATAGGATTAGTCCTACATAAAGAATCATCTGAGTCAGAGTCATAAAACATGTTTACATGAAAACCTAGAGCACCCAGACACTCTGTGAGCATTCTGGTGTGTTCCAAAGTCTCCTGTTCTGACTGAGCCACTAAAGTCTAATATAAATCTATATAAGTGGTCAG